TCTGCTTTCTCCAATCACCTCAACAATAGAATCTCGGCTCGCCATCTTTTCATCCATACTCGGGATTCTTTGCTCCAACTGAAAAAGGGGATAAAAAAAAAACGGATCATGTCAAAAAAAAAAAAAAAAAAAAAAGAGAAAAAAGAGAGATAGAAGTTACCTCTCTCGCGAAATTGCTCGAAGAATGGTGTCGGCTCGAACGAGGACTTGACGGGTTGATGATATGAGGATCTCGACGAGCTCGCTTCCAATGAACATCATGCTCACTACTACTTCGTTCAGAGACAGAGGGTACCGCCCGCTTTGAAGAACCGACATTGTGAGTACTTGAATTTCCATTGTTCCTCTCAGGAACACCCGAGATAAGTAGCGGCATTTTTCGAGCTTTATCCGATGGCTTGGTCTGATCGGTGGTCTTTTGTACCGGCGGGATATACTTATCCAAGAAAGACCCGCAAACTTGAGTCCACCACTTCTTGTATACGTCGGAAGAAAATCCCCTCGGAATCGCAGGAATGCGTGGAAGAATAACTTCGGCTGAAGATTTCAAGTAAGTACTTTGGTGCCAATGTTGATAGCCTTCCTCAAAAGCGCAGCAACGGACGTCTTTCAAAAGAACTCCGGGAATCTCTTGGAAAAAACCAAATTGACGGCAAAAACGGTGGGGACTATACGGCTCCACGAAGCATCGAAATCCATCCCGCAAAGTCAGAAAACAAGAGCGAATGGAGATGAAGTATTCTTGCTCGTAGTCTTCGCGCTTCCCGTCATCAACAAACCGTACGTCGAAATCTTTCGTGATCATGGTGCAAGCCCAACGAAAGTAGTCACCACGTAAAATCTTCCGGCATGCAACATCTGCTCTATACGCACGAGCACTAACAGCCCCGGAGTGCTTCACCATCCCCGGACCACGGATTCCCTTCCATACGCCGTAGTGGGTCTGAAAATACTCAGCGATCCATCCGGTCAAAAAGTGGAGAGGAATTGTCGACCGAACTTTCCCAGGACATGATGAATCTGCGATCTGGTTTAGCCCCTTATAAATACTGGTTAAGACTGGAATGGCCAAGCTTACTGGAAATCCCGACGCTAGGACACTTGCCATCTTGAAAGTCGAAGGACGTATCAAACCAACATCGTCGAGCGGAAGCACAAAGATGCAAAGCCAACAAGAAAGGAACGCTGCGAGGAAAGTCTCCTCAAGGTGCTCCCGTCCAACTTTGAGTTTGGCAAAAGATGACTCCTGCGCCTTCGACCATGGCTCGTGGGCACCAATCTCTCCGGTAGGATTGTAAGTCGCATCAGGCCGAGAAGAACGAGTAGACTCCTTGCCACGACGAATTTGAGGACGCTCGTATTTGACGGTCTTTTCGCACCAAAAAGAAATCCAGTCGGTTGTGCGGACGCCTCGTCGACCTTTGTCACGACTCCGAAGAAGGTGATAGGCATGCAACAGGTATCGGCACGAACGGGGAACCAGCTTCCTATCCTCTTTACTGCCATATAGCTCCTTTGCGCTTGGTACCACCTCTTCGTAAAATGAGCCGAGTATGGGGAGGCCCGCCAAGGACGCCAAGTCACGGAGAGAGATCGACACTTCACCGGCGGCAGTCAAAAGGGTGTTGGTTTTGGGACACCACGCCTCGCAAACGGCCTTGACGATCTCCGGAGAATAGTCGTAGGAGAACAAGGAAGCATAGACCGCATCGTAAATGCATCCTCTCTTTAGTGGAATCTCGCATCGATCCAGCACATCCTCCGCCCATTCCCAATAGCCGGCCACGTACGAAAAGTTGCCATCAAAAGAAGGAAGACCATTCCAAACGCACGCCCCATCCATGATCCGCCGCCCCAAGGTTGGAAGTGGAAGAACATCGTTTGACACGTGTTGATGAAGTGAGGATTGCAAGGTATGCTTTCCGCCAGCGACATTCCGAGACCACGTCTTTGGGAAATTTGGGACCTCCAAGCGAGGGCGAGCAGCTCCGCGTCCTATGAGTGGTGGATGCACCAATAGACGAGTCGCCTTGTCCAGCGGTTGACCTTCAAACTCGCAAATCACCAACTCGGCGTTTCCAGAGGGGGAGGAGACATCCTTGAAGTAAGCCATCTCGTCTACAAAAAAATATATATAAGCAAAGATCAAAAAAAAAAAAAAAAAAAAAAAAAAAAACACACAAGAGAAATAAGCCTACCCTAGAATGAGAGAAATCAAAATGTGAGAAGTTGAGAATGATAAAGTTCTCTCATGGTGAGGGGTTTATATAGTGTCTAAAAAAAAATTGAGATATGGAAAGACATGTATAAGGGGAGGAAGAAGATAAGGAAATAAAAAAAAAAGGAAGGAAGATAAAAATAAAAACAAAGAATAAAGGAAAGAATATATATATATATATATATGATGTGTATATATATATATAATTTTTTGGCAAAAACGCCATCCAAAAAAAAAAAAAAAAAAAAAAATTTGCATAAAAAAAATGGCAAAAACGCCATTTACAAAAAAAAATCCAAAAAAAAAAAAAAAAAAAAAATTGCATAAAAAAAATGGCAAAAACGCCATTTACAAAAAAAATGCCAAAAAAAAAAAAAAAAAAAAAAAAATGGCAAAAGAAAAAAAAACGCCATTAAAAAAAAAAAAAAAAATTCTTTTTCTATGTTTCGAGACTCGTTCACGCCTTAAACATTTTGCGTCGGCTTAAACAAGTCTCGATGGGGCATTTTGTAGACACTAAAAATATATGTCTAAAATCAATTAAATATCATGTATTTTGGAAGAAAATAAAATTCCAATAAAATAAATATATGGTATTTAATTATGCACATATGTTAATTTTTGTACAATAAATATCAACCATTAATGCAAAATCTGCTTAAAATGGAAGATATCGTACAAATATTACGTGCATAAATAGAGCCATAATAAATTTGGCAGCAAAATAAATTAATCTTGTCAATAAAGGAAGTATATAAATTAATATCTTCCAAACAAGGCAATGATATAAAGATCTTGTCAATAAAGGAAGTATATAAATTAATATCTTCCAAAAAAGGCAATGATATAAAGATTTTGACGAGAAAGGAAGGTGCATAATCAAATCCGTCAAAAATGGAAAACGGCATCCGAGGGAAAAGGAAAGATTATAAAATCTTTCCATCCACGTGGCACCATCCGAAAAGGAAGCCAAGGCCACCCTCCCCTATAAATAGGAGCCTTGGCCAATTCATTTAGACACCGAAGTTCATTTGAAGACTCGCGCAAGGGTAAGTCTCTCTAGACTCTCTGCAATGTTCTTCATTGTTCTTCGTGTCCTTCGAAGCGTTCTTCGTCGAAAAGTCACCGATTTGGACAAATGATCCAATATTGGTTGACGAATCGATGAAGTTAACGTTCTTCGTCGTATGTCCGAGCCGGAGGAAGGATCAAATCTCTCAAAGCTATCGAGGAATCCATCAAAGCCAAGGAAGAGCCTCCAAAGTCGCTCCCAAAGCTTGAAGATGTTCGTCGCGTTCTTCATAAAAGGCGCAAACCAGGCCCTCTTCGATCCAAAAGTCAAAGGGACACGCCGCCAAAAGCGTTATGGAGCACTAAATCTCTCCCTCAAAGATCAAATTCCGTCGGATCATCCAAAGGAGGCATCAATCCGAAGCCGACGATCAAAATCGCCAACATGGATACCAAAGTCCTTCAAAAGCCGGCGAAGTCAAACCGAAGACCAAAATCCCTTCGGATCAAAGAAGCCACCCAAATCCAAATTGGAAAAATGGATCGACCCGGAGAGAGAATCAAAGGATCCGAATAGAGAATAGGACCCGCATTAAATTTAAATACAAATATAATTTGTACAAATTTTGTGTTTATAAAAATATAACACAATTTTTTTGTCTACAAATATATAAATATTATATTTTATAAATGTTAAAATAGTAAAAACACAGACAATGTTATGTCCAAATTTTTTGTAATAATATGTTTGTTATATTGAAACATGCATATCATATAAAATAATGAGACTGCAAATCTCTGTTTATATTTGATTCTTCTGAAAAAACATTATATAAAATTATAAAAGTTAAAAAATATTCTATTTGACATAACTTAATAAATTAATCACAAATAGGAAAAAATGAAAATTTAAAATAAAAAAAAAGATGGGGACAAAATGTGGGTGCATAGTAAATTCTAATGTTGGACCACTCTATAAACTCATAAATGTACATCAACACAGAGAGAAAATAAAATAAAATAAAATAGCTGTACGAACTGTTTGGTACAAAAGATACCATTGTTGCTAAAGAATGCTAAATCTTATTAACGGATATATTCCCTCCCTCCTACTATACCTACATTGTCGTTTCTATCTATCCCATGTCATTTTTTTTTTTTAATTTGAATTATGTAAAATTCGAATTAATTTGAAAAAAAAAATCAAAATCAAATTAAAATGTCCAAAACTTAAAATTTGAATTATAAAATTCAAACTAAATACCATAATTATAAACTAAAATTAAAATAATTAATTAATTAATCTAATTAAAATTGAAATAATTTAAATTTAAAATTGTATATATATATATTAAAAAAGATAATGAAATGTAAAAAGCAAGACGTACGTATATAAAATATAGACAGAAGAAGAATAATATCCAAAATTTTTATAATTTCATTTTTTTTTTTAATATTTTTATTAAATATATTTCAGATTGATTCAAAATTTTATTATATCAATTCGAACCGATTGAAAAATTTAAATTATAAAAAGTTTAATCCAAACCAATAAAAAATTCGAATTAAATTTTAAAATTTAGTTCGGATTGGATATTATGATATTTTGTTCACTCTTATTTTACACATGGGGTATAAATTTTCGTGGACATTGGGCTTTGCTTATTTTGGGTCGGTCCGGATCGGGCTGTTTGAAAGCCCATACAAAGGCCCATTATCCAGGCCCATAGTGGAAGATATAAAAAGGAAATGGAATCGTTGTAGAAAGTCGATGGAAGACAAGATTGGAATCCACCTTGTCGACTCGGAAGACAGCGCCGAGTTCGCTCACCTGAGTCGCGAGTTGACTCACTCATCGGTTGTCGGGCTCGACGCGGAATGGAAGCCCAATGGCCGCGCATCGACGTTCCCCACCGTCACCCTCCTCCAAATTGCCTGCCACGTCGCCGGCTCCGGCGACTTGCCGGTTTTCCTTATCGATATCCATGCGATTTCATTGCCCCCGGTGTACGACTTGTTGAAGCAAGTGTTCGAATCGCCTGATGTGTTGAAATTGGGATTTAGATTTAAGCAGGATTTGGCGTATCTTTCGTCCACGTTTTGTGAGCGGGGATGTGATCCTGGTTTCGATAGGGTAAGTTCTCCGTAATAGAATTGTTGTTGGTTCTGAAATTTTGGAGATTAGATGTTTGACACGAACAGCTCTTGGGAGGTTGAGCTGCAATGGAACAGATTGAAAACGCGATAACGCATTTTTTTTCTCGCTTGAAGAAATTCGTAAAATGCGGAATTTATAGAACTAATTCAGGAATTTGTGTTAGTCAGAACTTGCCAAACGATTATGTTCAGCTATTATTTCATGTCTTAGTATTGTTTTCAGAAATTATAAAAAACTGTTGCACTAGATAGGATGATATGCAGAAGAAATCGAATATACCTTTCTCCACAGCATAGCTGTTGAACTTCTGCGATCATTGAATTTGAAATTTAATCAGTTGATCTTTTGAAGGTAGAGCCGTTTATGGATATTACTGCCATATACAACCATCTACAACCCAAACAACTTGGAAGAAGGATGCCAAAACAGACAAAGAGCTTGGCAGCAATATGCAGTGAAGTTTTAGGCATTTCACTCTCCAAGGTTTTAATTTATTGAGTTCCATACAACTCTTTGGTTAAAGTTAGTTTACTTGTCTCCTGATTTAGGTATATGTTGGCTGGAATTTGACAAGTTTTCGTGCTTGTGCTTTGTTCAGGAACTTCAGTGTAGTGACTGGTCACAGCGTCCTCTAACAGAGGAGCAGAAGGCATATGCTGCTGCGGATGCATATTGTTTGATCAAGATATTTGATGTCTTCCATGCAAAGATTTTCCAAGAAGGTTGTTTAATTCCTATGGATTTGATCATATGATTTTTGTATATTGTGTCATTAGCTTTGAATGTTTGGATTACTTTTTTAGTTTTTTGGTGAGGTACGGTAAATGTTTCCTACTTGCAGCTTCTTAATCACACTCAATAACTTTCTCAGGAAATACCCAACTGCAACTGTTTGTCTTCCTCAAGCAACTCCTCTGTATATTAGCAGAATAATATGTGCAAAGAATGATGGAGTATATTAAGTGCATGCAAACTGATTATATATTGTTAGAAAATGCGATGTTGTACTCCGACTAGTGGATTGTGATTACGCCACATCTGCTTTCTTGTGGCTTATTAGTGAGCTGATAAACCTAGCATCTCAGTTTGGGGTATATTTGTTAATTTGTCTTGAATGCTCAATGCAGGAAGGTTTCCACAAAATCAGAATAGATACCGGCCATCTGATTCTGATCCTCAGTCGAAGAAGATACTTGAGTTACCTAATGGGAGTGACATGGCGGCAGGGACAGAATTTTGTGAAGCTTCCAGTACGATCCAAACAAACATGTCTGGGTTAGATAGTAGAATACAAGTTACAAAGGAAGTAGATTCGGTGAAGTCAAAGAAAATTATTGACAGCTTCTTATACATTCTTGAGAAGTATGGTGACAAGATTTTGTTGAAGGAAGTGGACAGAAAGCCTAAAGTGTCAAAAAAGAAGGCTAAAAGGATGACCAGTGGATTATTGTCCAAAGCAAAGAACCCTGAAATTGAAGAGAATTGGCTGGGTCCGCCTCCCTGGGATCCATCCTTGGGAGGTGATGGATTCCCCAAGTTTTTGTGCGATGTGATGGTATGCTAAATCTCATATTAGTCAAATATCGACTCCCATTATAGGCATGGTTATTATACAGCTTTGTGATCTTTGAATCATAATTGTGAACCTAGCTTGAATGATCAGATTGAAGGCTTGGCAAAGCATTTACGTTGTGTCGGAATAGATGCTGCCATTCCATGGTCAAAGAAACCTGATGCCAGGTGCAAATCTATTTAGTAGCTCCAATCAGATGACACATTATTGTTATAAGACATATACGCTTTCTTTCTTGGATGGTCTTCTGGAAATGTAAAGCTTTCTGTCATTTCTTCCCAGGGAACTCATAGATCAAGCACAAAAGGAGAACAGAGTGCTGTTAACCCGCGATGCCAAGCTGTTGAGACATGAATATTTACTTACAAATCAAATTTATAGGATCAGAAATCTCCTTAAAAATGACCAGCTTCTTGAGGTAAACATTTTACTTATTTGCATTTGTGACATTTATTAGATTCCAACTGAGGTTTGGGCTGAGACTGATATTGAGATGGTGCAGATAATCGAAACATTTCAGTTGAAGATTTCAGAGGATCAGCTGATGTCAAGGTGTACTAAATGCAACGGGAAGTTCATCCAGAAACCACTCACGACTGAAGAAGCTGTAGAAGCTTCTAAGGGGTTTCAAGTGATTCCCAAGTGCCTGTTCAACAAGAATTTGGAATTCTGGCAGTGCATGGACTGCCATCAACTATACTGGGAGGTATGCCCGTTTGGGTTACTTTCCCCAAAAAACTTTCTGAACCATTTGCCTCTGATCTTCTGTTTTCGAGTGTTGCAGGGAACACAATATCACAATGCAGTTCAGAAGTTCATCGATGTGTGCAAACTAAACGAGCAACTGTAAAATTGTGTGGTTAGAAATATTCAAGATGCATATTGCTGAGTGTAAGCTACACCTATTATCAAAATTCGGTTCATTTGATTAATACAGCCGCGCCCTAGTTGATCCAACCAAAATTATATCAATTTACAACCGGTGGAAAAGCTGGGATTTTTTCGATCTTTCCTGCTTACGCTGATTGGAATGGAGCAAGAGAATCAAATCCCAGATTGTATTAAGAGACAAGGTAATCAATAATGTCTTGAACTTTTCACTTTTCTCTATTGAAGTTATGAATTGGTTCTTATCTTGGAACATTTTTTAAGCTTCTTTTGCCTGGGATATTGTGAACATGGCTTAATTATGTTGATAATTGTTGCAAGTTTTGGATGATGGGACCATGTTTTATGGCCGTGATGTACGGATTAGCATAATTATTTGGATTAGGAGGTCTAATTTAGTAATCCCTTGTGGCTTTTAATTATTGGAATTGTTTTGACTTTGGAAATTTGGTGCTTGTATTAGGTTTTAGTTGGCCCCTTAAAGCACTAAACACTTTCTTTGGTTTTTTTTTTTTGATCAAGTTGTTATGGTGAGGATGAGAATGCTATGAATATTTCTGTTTGTGTTTTACTTTTTAGTAATGGTTAAAAAAAAAATGTATTTTTTATAAAGAATAGCAATAGTTGAATAGTAAAAATGAATACCTAAAACACATTTAATTTGAATTTGGTTAGTGAGATTTTCTTGCAAAAAGTGGACCCACATGGAAATATTTGCAGCACTGAGTGTGTTAGTAGTCAGTCTTTTAACATTTTGATTTATTATTATGTCATCAGAAAGAAACCACTGGTAATTTATTTGAAGGAAAGTGATGGTTGTCTTTGAGGGACAGGGATCACATCTCACTATACTGAAACTTTTTTTAAATTTATTTAGTGGAGTATTAGAAGGTATGAGTGGGGGATATATTTATATTTATATATTGTATTCCAATATTTCAATGTTGTCGTTTAGTGATAAAATAATGTTGGCGTTGACAAATAGATTCATATCTCACTCACATTTGTTCCTTACTGTGACAAGAATTATTAGTGTTAGCCTTATGTATTTATTCTCACTAATCCTTATTACTACAAGAAAGAATCCAATGGTTTGTTACTGATTATATATCAACAGGTATTGATGTGATGTTGTAAATGTATAATTGATTTTTAGTATAATATAAAAAATAAAAAATAAACGTAGATGAATAATGTTTAAAATTCAATCTCTCAAACAAACACACCCTAAATTACTCCTTGTTTGAGCATGAACATTATAAAATATTGATATTTTTGTTAAAAAAAGTTTAGGTAAAAAATAAAATAGTAGTATTATAGAAAATTTATTAAATAATTAATAAAAAAATAATGTAATCAATAGAAAAAATATTGAAAATTTGGTTATTATTGGTTAAATGTTAAACTATGATTGATAAAATTGTTTTTTTTATAAGTAAATTGTTAATAAATTTAACAAATAATAATAATAAAAATTTGATATAATAAATATAAATCGTGTTTAAATAAATCGTAGAAAAAACAGTATTTAAATAAATCGTCATTAAAAAAAAAGAAAAAAAAGGAGTATTTAAATAAAACTCAACTTGAAACCTAAAATCCTAAATCAAACTCACCCTAAATTCTTTGATTGATGATAGTAAAGCAGAGTCGCGTGAAGGTTCGGGCACGTGCGACGCGCCTGCGTGCATACGTCTTAACGGTGACGTCGGTAGCCGTCAATCCTGTCTTCGATTTGACGGTCCAGATTGCATCAGCAACGCGGATTTCACGTTTCGCGCTCTCGTTAGCCCAGACGGGGGCCCCTCTACAGTGCCTGTTATTGAATGCCACGTGGACACTTGAGCATGGTGTAGGTTTTAAATAATACTACTAATATTTGTATTTGCGTGAAGAAATTTTTGGATTTGAGAGAATATTAATCGAAGAGTACGGAGTGTATCATACAATGCATATTGCTGCCGTCGTTAAATAAAACTCATTCAGTCTACCAATTTTTTATCCGTTTTTGTAAAATATATTTATTTATGATATGGGAACCAAAGCCATGAGTCATCGAGGTTTAAACTTATACTAATATCACAGTTTATAAGTCATATTTACACCATCAGATCATCGGCTCATTATTTAATACTCCCTCAATTTCATAAATATAGTCTTAATTAGATTGGGTACGATATTTAAAAAATATTGATATTATATTGTCAGTTGGTAAAAAGTATGGATAATTTTTTTTTTCCGTTGTGAGTGTATTAGTGTAAAAAATAGTGATAATTGTGTAATAAAAAAAAATAAAGGTAGTTTTACGGTGATATGGTTATTTATAGAAATAAAATTATTGTTTTGGGACGGACAAAAATGGTAAACAAGACTATTGTATTATGACGGAATGAGTAATATTTTTAGCGGATGGAAAGAGTAATATATTTTTAAAAAATATTAAATTTTACTATCGTCGGTTTAAGTATTTTATTTATTTTTTGCATATTGATCTACGTATCAGTTAAGAAAAAATTACAAAAAATACTTTCATCAGTCGTACTAATATAAGAACATTTATACAGAAAAATTATACAAGTATAAGAATATTGAGCCGGACAAAATGAGTGAGTATATTTCAATTTTTTGAAAAAATTATATCAAATATTAACTTTTCACTATTATTTGTTTTTATCAAAATTTTATTTCCTCCGTCCCACCCACGTACCGTATTTGGAATGATGTAATTAGTTAAGAATGTATCTGTGAAAATAATTATCCTATAATATAAATAATTATAAATTAAGATTAAGATAACAAATTAGTTTAATTTAAATTAAAAAAATTAAAAAATTAAAAAATAAAATTAAAATGTGTAATCATTTGAAAAAAAAATGACATGAAATATGAGACGGACAAAAACGACGACAAAGACATAGTATGGTACGTGGGATGGAGAAATAACTTTTAAAACAAAAATTTTAAAGAAATAAAACAATATTCCCTTCATTCCACTTCAAAAAGTTAAGTGGAGGTTTATAAGATATTTTTATATTTTAATTTTATATATAAAATAATATTATATATACAAAATAATATATTTATAATTTAAATAAAAATTAAGAATAATTTAGCATTAATATATAAAAATAATACTTTTAAATAAAATAAAAAAATTTGAAAAAAACATTTTAAAATGATACTTAGTCATGTTAAAATTAATTAAAATATATATATATATATATATATTATAAATGTGAATGGAGAAAACATTATAAAAACATTTGGCAAGTGGACAAAACCCTCTTCCTCATCCTTTCTTCAATTTGCTCCCCACTATCCATTTCTATCTCTCTCTCTCTCTATGTGATGAATTTGTGTAAGAAAGGCAACACATATACACATGCAACTGCCAAGAAATTAAAGAAAACCACACTTTAAACCTAGCTTTCTTCCTTTTCACATATACATACATACACACATATATATATAATATCAAAAGTGTGTTGTGTTTTTATCTCTTAGCTTTCCTTCTTTCTTTCTCTCTCTCTAAGCTTTCTTTCTTTCTCTGTCGTCGTTGGGTGATTGTGAGTGTCTCTTTTTGCTTTTGATCCATCGATTATGGATCACGATACTAATTCTCATTCTCAGTGGCCACACCACCTGCACCTCCAGGTAATTTCTTTTCTTTTCTTTTCTCTACCTCCATCATTTCATTACATTAACTTTCTTTCTAGGGTTTCGTCTCGTTTCGTTTTGTTTGATTTGGTTTGGGTTTTTCTATGGCTGAATTATGATCACACATACACACAATATATATAGATATACACGTATTTTTATCTCTATTCTCTACTCTCTCTCTCACTATAGATACGCATATATATATATATGTTTAATTCTTAGCTTGTAGTGTAATTTCTTCCTTTGATGTTCTAACCCCACTATGTCTGTCTTCTTCTTCCTTTATGTTTTTTTGCATTCAAATTAAACTTTCCTAAATTTGATCTTCATTTCATCCCCATATATATACATATGTATGTATCTACTTTTTACTCCCACTACCACTAAAAGCTAATAATTAAGAAAAGCAATTTACCTTGTCTGTGCATATACATATATATATATATACATATGATTTTCTTTACAAAATCATTTAATTTGTTCTTCTTCAAAAATATATAAATTATTACATGAGAGCAGCAGGGAATTGGAGGAGCTGTTGTGGTCGAAAAATCAGGTGTAGAAATTAGGAAGGCAATAATCGAAAAGGAAAAGGAAAAGGGAGGTTTGAAGTGCCCGAGGTGCAGTTGTAGCAACACAAAGTTCTGTTATTACAACAACTACAGCTTGTCTCAGCCACGATACTTCTGCAAAGCTTGTCGAAGGTATTGGACTCAAGGAGGCACTCTCAGAAACGTCCCTGTCGGTGGAGCTTCCAGATCAAAGACCAACAACAATAAACCTAATTCGATTTCCAATCATCATCATCATCAAACCAGCAGCAGATCGTCCTCCAAGAAATTATTTCTTTTAGGATCCTCGTCTTCGTCGTCTAATTCTTCGTCTTCAACTACAGATTTTCTTCTTCCAGGGCATGATTTGAATTTGGGATTCGATCAGCTAATCCCTCACTGGTCTGAGTCGGATCAATTTGGGGGTTTTCATCAAAACCCTAATTTCATCACCCACAGCCATAATTATAACCTTCATCATCATCTGCCAATTATGGAGCTTTTCAAGAGCGGGGATTCCATTTCTGATCATCCTGCTGCTGCTGCTAATGGTAATGGTAATGGTAATGACCTCCTCCTCCAGGTTTCGTCTGGTTTTAATATTCCTGCAGCTCATGATCAGTTGAGAGGGTTTCCAGTTGATCATCATCATCATCAACAACAGATCATTAATGGGTATAATACTGCTACTAATAATAATCAGCAGCAGCAGCAAGCGCAGGATGAGGTGGAAAGAGGATCATACCCGTACTGGTTTAATGGAATGTTGTCTGCTACTTAATTCTTGGGTCTTAATTAATTAATTTGCCTTTTTTTGTTATTAAAACTTTTTGTTTTGAGGATGTGGCGGTGGTGGGATCAAGAAATTAGAAATGCTGTATGAGTATATGCATGTCAGGATAGCTTAAAGATGAAGAAGATGAGAGAGATGTGTGTTTGTTTGTTTATTCCTCTTGCTGTTTTGGTACTTAGATTTGTGTAATGAACAAAATACTCTAGACTTGATTGTTTCTGCTGCCTGTTTGCTTGTGTCTTGTCAAATATATATATATATATATATATATGATGTGGTGGTGTCATTTTGAGTTACAATTCCCAGTGCACATTGTAATAATATATGATGCCTTCCCTAGTTTATGGAGAATGTTGTTCTTTTCTAGCTACCCTCTACTAATTCTTCTCGATTAATTCTCCCACAAAGATTTTTTTTTATTTTTTATTTTTGTTATTATAGAGTATGTATGTTAGTGGGATTGATGATTGATTGATCGATTGATTGATTACACAAAGATGAAATAAGATGGGATGTACTGATAACTGATTACTATATTTTATGTTCCCAATGTAAAGCAGGCTGCGGTGTAGTGGAACATACATATACTCCTATAATTAATAAGTGGAGTATACAAACTCTTTGTTAATCTATAATTATAACAATACAGGACTATGTCATCTTCAAAAATCAATTATTATGTTACTTCTTATTTGTTTTTTTTTTTTTTTTTTTTTTTTTCGATGTTTTAAAAATATTAGTATTATATTGAAATATAATAGAAATAAAGTAGAATTAATTAAAATAATTTTATTAATATTGTGTGATATAAAAAGTAATGACATTTGTGTAATATATTGCAAGTTGTAAGGATATTTGTAATGTTAAGTAGATAGTTCAGTTATTAAAAAAAATGGATATTTTGTTATGAGACGAACTAAAATGAAAAAATTGATATTTGTTATGAGATGGAAAAAATATTTATATTATATTAATAATATAAATAATATTCCCTCCGTCCCAAACAAAGTGCCACATTTATTTTTGGCACGGGTTTTTAGGTGAGTAATATTAAGTATAATAATTTAGAAATGAGGTGATGTGATGAAGAGATAAATATATATTTTATTTTTTTATTTGGATGATACGAGGGAGTTAAAGTGTGGGGGTAAAGATTAAATATAATTAATTATTTCTTATTTTGGAAATGTTGCAGGGTGTTTGAAACATATAAAAAATATAATATTGCATGGTGTTTGGGACGAAGGGAGTATATAATTAATAATAATATTGTGTATTGTTTATTAACGCATTATGCTAAATTTTAAATTCAGCATTGCAGTAACATTCCCATATATATATGACTGAGTCCGACTTCGCTTGCTTGCTTGCTTTTTTTAATTAATTTGGCAAGTACCTAAAATATTCAGAAATGAATTGAGGTCAGAATCGAATATATGGAGGAGATCTACGCATAACATATTCGCTCAGTGGGATAAATGGGCGTTTTATTGGTTAAAATTTGAAATATTATATTTAAATTTTATATTAAAATAATCCTTGACGAAGTATTTTATAAAAAGAAATATATATATATTTTGGGTTTTTTCAAAAAACACAATAGAGAGGATTAGTTTAGATTGGATGGATTGTGGCAAGTATCAAACCACACGGAGGATGATATATGTTGCTTTCAAGTATTTTTTGTTTTAATAAAAATTATTTCTATGTCTAGACAAGAGATTTTTAAAAGTTATGTTAAAAGGTTAATATATTATGTGATATTTTATATAAAAAAATATGTATTAAATTTGATATTTTTACTATTTTTTTAAAATTAAAAAAAAAAGAAAAAAGAAAAAAAAAAGAAAATGGCTAAACGGAAAATTTGTGTTGTAATGGGCCATCATCAATTCAGTTAGGATGGCATTGGGTTTTGGTTGATGTATCGGTCATCCATCCCCTGCCTATTGCTATTTATAGATATCCTGTTTGCCTGCATGCCTTCTCATTTCGGAGTGTGTTTCTTTTTCATTTAAATAGAATTAAAATTAAATTTTTGCTTAAATAATACTACTTCCTACGTAAAAAATTAGAACATTTGTATCCTAACATAAAATTAAGAAGAATAAATATTTTATTAAAAAAATTAATAAAAAATAAAAATTAAAGAGAGAATGTAATAAATATAGTGAAATTTATTGTAAATAAGTGTTAACAAGAATAATAGTTAAATATTGATTTATTAATTTTAGCAAAATTAATAATGAGATAAATTTATTTTTAAATAAAATAAGAGTAAATTTGAGAGAGAGATGAAGTAGTATTTAATATAATATTTTATTAAAAAAATATGAATATATTTTTAAAATAAATAAAACTATATACCGCAAATAATCTATACATAAATTTAAATTTAGCGACAGCAAAAAAAAATACATAAATATCTCAAACCACAGCCTTGATTGATTGGTTTCTTGTTTGCAAGAATGAATGGCGGGTAAAAAACACGGTCAGGGACACGAAGAAGATATCATCATATCAAATCAAAACATGCTCCTCCACGGCCACTGCCCGCCGCTGCCCGCCGAATCCCAATCCCAATCTCCGGCAATAAACACCCCACATGTTACTCATCTCGCAACATTTCTTCCATTACTCAACTCCACCACCACCGCCACCGCCTACGCGGCGGCGCTCGACGCCTGCAGCCGCCTTGAGCTCGGCCAACAGCTGCACGCCCATCTCCTCAAGGCCAGCCTCCGCCGCCGCGAGTTTGTGCAGACGAAGCTGCTCCAAATGTACGGGAAGTGCGGCCGTACGGACTATATGGCTCAGGTGTTCGACGAAATGCCTGAAAAGAATCTCTATACTTACACTGCCATTCTCAACGTTCTCTTGCAGGAGAATCTCTTCGAAGAAGCTTTTTCCTACTTAGAGAGGCTAATCAACGATGGGGTCGGCCTTGACTTCTTCATCTTTCCGGCGGCATTCAAAATCTGCCGCGGCTGCGGCGGGGCAGAGCTGGGGAGGCAGTTGCATGGTGCCGCCGTGAAGGTCGGGGCGGCACGCCATGCATACGTAGGAAATGCATTAATTGACATGTACGGAACGTGCCGGAGCTTCGGCAACGCCGAGAAGGCCTTCAGGCACATGCCAAACACCGATTGCGTATCGTGGAATTTGATGATCATGGCTTGTGTTCGTAACGGGAAGTTGTTCGAAGGGATAGAGGTTTTGGATGAGATGATGAACTTGAAGGGGAGTTTTTTGAATCCGAATCACACCACATGGAGTGCTTTGATTGGTGGATTGGTTAATCACGGATACGACGAGGACGCCGTTGGGGTGTTGAGGAAGATGGGTCGATCGGGAGTCGAACTGAATGCCCGGGTTTTAGGAGATGTCGTTGCCGGTTGTTGTAGGTTGAGGAAGGCGAGGCTCGGGGAGGAAATCTACGGGTACATTATGAGGCGGGGATATATGTCGAGCACATATCTAGTGAACGGAGTGATCGATCTTTATTGTAAGTGCGGCGACATGGGAAGGAGTTTTGAGGTGTTTTTGAGGTTTTCCGGGAGAGATGAAGTGTCCTTTAATACGATGATTGCGGGATATTGTGTCGATGGAGACGTCGCAAAGGCGAAGGCTTTGTTCGATGCAATGGAATATGAAGGGGTATCGAAGGGGTTGATTACTTGGAACTCGATGGTTTCGGGGTACGTCGACAACTTAATGTTCGACGAGGCTGTAACGATGGTAACGGAGTTGATGTCGGAAGGCGCGATCGAACCCAATTCGTTTACGTTGGGTAGTGTTCTACACGGTTGCGCTGAGACGGGTTCTCTACGACTGGGAAAAGCCGTCCATTCCTATTGCATAGTCAGAGGTCTCGAAACGAACCTGTTCGTGGGCACTGCATTGGTCGATATGTACTGCCGATGTCGGGATCTCGAAGCTGCGGAGAGAGCGCTGCGCTGGGTGCCTGAAAGGGACGTCGTTATATGGAACGCCTTGATTTCGGGACATGCTCGTTGCGATAAAATCGATAGCTTAAGACGCATAATGCAAGAGATGAGAGACGATGGGTTTGAACCGAATGTACATACCTGGAACAGGGCGATTGCGGGATTAGTCAAGAACAGCCATCACGAGCTCGCGTTGCAGTTATTTTCCGATCTCCCGGTGAGGCTGGATATCTACAGCGTAGGAATTATTTTGCCTGCGTGCTCGAGGTTAGCTACCGTGGAACGCGGCAAGCAAGCGCACGGATTTGCAATCCGGCGCGGCTATGAACGGGACGAGTACATTGCAGCTGCCCTGATAGATATGTATGCGAAATGCGGGTTAATAACATACGCGAAACAGGTATACAAATGGGCAAACAATCGAAATCTGGTAATCCAAAATGCAATGCTAAATGCATACGCCGTGAATGGATTTGGAGAGGATGGAATTGCCTTCTTCCGAAGAATGCTAGCTGACGGAGCTAAACCCGACCGGGTGACTTTCCTCGCTGTTCTATCTTCGTGTGTTCACGCAGGATCTGTCGAAGCCGGACTTGAATTCCTCGACATGATGGCGGCGTATGGGGTGACGCCGGGATTGAAGCACTACACGTGTGTAGTCGACTTGTTAAGTGGCTCGGGGCAGCTCAAACGAGCGCACGAGATAGTTGAGGAAATGCCTGTGGAACCCGACCCTGTGATTTGGGGCGCGGTTCTTAAAGGATGTATTAGCCGCAGGGAGTTCGACCTGGGAGAAATAGCTGCACGTAAACTCATAGAGTTAGAACCGGATAATTCGGGGAACTACGTAATGCTGGGTAACTTATATGCTTCTGCAGGGAAATGGCGTCAATTCGGCGAGCTAAGACAGCGGATGAAGAACGAGGAAATGCATAAGATTCCGGGGTGCAGTTGGATCGAAGACAAAGATGGAACACACGTATTTACGGCATGCAGCAGATCTCATAAGCAAGCGAAGGAGATTTACGACATGTTGGATAGCTTAACAGCGCATATGAGATTAGAACAGATAGAGCTTTAAGTTAATGTAAAACTTACAGCTTAAGGAGCATTCGAAGGATCGAGCTGCCCTTTGTGAAACTCTTACAAGTTCTTCGTCGCCCCCTAACACATAAATCCAACCATGCGATCCTGCGATCCCAATTAGTAAACCAACGCAATTTCTACTATAAATTCAGCGAAAAACACGACTAAAGACAACCCTAACGAAGGCTTAAAGACAAGTACATGAGAAATATAGACGACAACAAAGTTTTTATCATGAATTTCACATGACTGTACAAAATGGACACTTTCAACAAATGGTGTGGAATACTTGAATGGCTATAAGTACATCAGATTACTAAGCACCAAGAGTTACCAGTTCTCCTTAACAATTTTTGGCTTCTCCATAATGAATTTACCCTCCTTGTATTTTTGCGATGCATCATAAGCGCGTTCATATTTCCACCCCAGCACTTCGCCGCAATCCCTACAACTTATGTCGGCAACTGTGTGGAGACCAGTCATCAGATTCCTATCCTCTCTCGCTCCCACGACAATGTTCATCGCATGTGAGAATAAAAATGCCCTGCCATGTCTTCCCTGAGATGTATAACACATCATTGGATATGAGATAAAGTTATGCTTTCCGGTTAGAACACTTTTTTCTGGTCCAAGAAACTAAGAAGATCGCCATACCAAAATGATAGCTATAGAAGTGCGGCATGTATGGCAATTACAGTTGTTAAACAAATAGAGTAGTTAGCGAGCCAAGCTCCCAGCTCATTAACAGCTCAACTCTATAGAGATGAATGAGCTGAGCTCAAGCTCAAAATTATTATTTCTTGTAGTTAATTTGATTGAGCTCGTTAGTAATTGTATATTTGTACCATTTTATATATTAATATAATATTTATAGTTTTTTATATATAAGTTTATATTTTTAAATATTTTATTATAACAAATTTTAAATAAAACTAAATATAATTGATTTATATATTAAAACTATATAATATGCATAAACTTCGAATCGAACTCGACCTCGAGCTCAAGTTCGAGCATTATGAGCTGAGCTCGAGCTTAACAAGCTGAGTTCAAACCGCTATTTTAACTCAAAGTCTAAAAAAGACCAAATCGAACCTGTACCGATAACTTATTCGAATCAAGGTCTAACAACAAATACTCTAGTTCACTCAACTCGTTTCATAACTCTAATGGCAATATAACCCCACAAAAATTTCAGCAGGGGATCAGGAAATATGCATTGTAGTTGAGTTTGAAACACAAAAAGGCCGAACTATGTTTTCTTAGGCATTAACAATTACTCAAATCTTGTGGCGAAATCAAGTTAAGATCAAGTAGCATGTGTTGAATATTGTCACGCATTGCTAAATGTGTAGAAACTCCCCTAGTATATAAGGGTGAAGGGCCACTCTACCTATCACCAATTAGTTTTAGGTTGGATGCCCGGATCCCTTCTAAACAGCATGAACCTTTACCTCGAGCTTAAACCTATTTCTTCAAGTTCAAGCTCAAGTGAACTTGGCAGTTCAACGTTCGTCAGCTTGAATATATAAGGTGAAAGCCCGAGAGTAAATTGAATTTGTGATACATGAAGCTACTAAACGCGGCTGACATTCATGCTCAAGACAACGACGAGTTTATTGAGCTACTTGCAATCTTGAATCAACAAATTTCAACGAAACTCTACACACAACTTGGGAAGCATGAAAAACATCGGAAACATGAAAACGACACCCCACAAGATATAAGAACATTCATAACCTGACAAAGCTTTACCTGAAACGCCTTAGAGATTATGTCGTCATGAAGAGAAACATGGTTCCGGCATTTGTAGCAGCAGTACAAACGAGGGCCAACAAATTCACCCATTGATCGATCAATATCTCGGAGCACAGAAAACCTAACCGGTATCAGAAAACAGGAATTAAAATGCCCCAACAAGTTTGAATATAATTTAAGGATAATATATAACCAAACTTCCGCCATTAGCAAACATCATAGCAAGCTCACAGATCGTCCAAAATCACTGCATCAAAACACACAAATTTCTATGCAAAAAATGCCAAAAACTGGAATATAAACTGTAAAACGCCTCGTCGATCGACAAAATTGAGGCACAACAATTTATTAGGGAAAATATTGCAAATGAAACCGTATACAGACGGTGTTCTTCACCTTAAAGGAATCGATCGCTGTGCTCAATTCTGCAACATAACACGAAAGCAACCGTATCTGTTGATTCCAAAACTACGCCTAATCGGATTGTAAGATTAGGTAAATACAAGCGCCCAAGAAATCAGAATTCACCGATGTATTAATCAATCGATTGGTTTCGAAAAGGACAGGACGAGTTCTACTCACAGCAGTCTACAGCGAGCAAATAATAATAGAAAAGAACTGCGCACTGCATATCAGATGGAATTGACCATAGTTGGAAAAGTTAAAACATTTCTTTCTTCAACCGCAATAATAAGAAAATAATATAAATAAATAAATAAGGAAATACCGTATTAACTGCCGCCATTGAAGCATGATTCCTTGCTCGGAAACGGCACGAAAATGCTAATTTTGTCGTTTCATAGTGGAAGTGACACCCCGATTTCCTGAAGGAGTGCGGATTTTGTTTCTCTGCAGAAGCCCACACCCATTTTCTTGAATTGATTTTTTGAGTTAATTCTTCCTTCCTCTTAGTAATGGCACACTTCTGTTTTTATTTTTGTTTGAAGTTTTGGATTTTGAATTGAGAATCGAAAAGATTGAAATATAAATAAGTATTGACTTGGTGTTTGGAATGTAAAATTAATTTTTAGTAAATAAAAAATAAGTATTTGATTTGATTTTTTTAGAGCAAAATTTTGTGTGAATAGTGAAAATCCTCCGAAATTCTCCAAACAAACACACTTTTAGTGTATATTTTGTGAATTCTTAGATCAAATTTTATTATTCATTAATTTTTTGTAAAATGAATTATATTAATATTTATTTTTTATTTAATATATTCTATTAAAAATTAATTTTACTTTTAAAATATAAATTGTCACAAGTTCACTCTTCACAACAACGACTTGCCTGAACTATTTTGATTTATTTTGTATAAGAACAAATAGTATGTGTTTACTACAAAATGAATAGTGTAGATATATGTTTGAAATATATACCAAATATAATCTATAATTATTGTTACGTACGAAATTTAGAATTAGGTTAAAAGCCCAAGGTAAAAAAGAAGAATGGGCCTGGCAATAGGGTTGATTGAACTGGCTGAAGGACACCGTGAGGAAATCAAGGAAAATAAATTTATTTATTTATTTCTAAGGAAAATACAGGACGGAAGGTTCTCAGGTCGGTAGGTCCTCAGGACGGAAGGACTTCAGGTCGGTAGGTCCTCAGGACGGAAAGACCTCAGGTCGGAAGGTCTTCAGGTCGGTAGGTCCTTAAGACGGAAAGTCATTAGGACGGAAGGACCTCAGGTCGGTAGGTCCTCAAGACGGAAGGACCTCAGGTCGGAAGGTCTTCAGGTCGGTAGGTCTTCAAGACGGAAAGTCATTAGGACGGAAGGACCTCAGGTCGGTAGGTCCTCAAGACGGAAGGACCTCAAGTCGGAAGGTTTTCAGGTCGGGAAGTCCTCAAGACGGAAAGACCTCAAGTCGGAAGGTTTTCAGGTCGGGAGGTCCTCAAGACGGAAAGACCTCAAGTCGGAAGGTTTTCAGGTCGGGAAGTCCTCAAGGCGGAAAGACCTCAAGTCGGAAGGTTTTCAGGTCGGGAGGTCCTCAGGACGGAAAGACCTCAAGTCGGAAGGTTTTCAGGTCGGGAAGTCCTCAAGGCGGAAAGACCTCAAGTCGGAAGGTTTTCAGGTCGGGAAGTCCTCAAGGCGGAAAGACCTCAAGTCGGAAGGTTTTCAGGTCGGGAAGTCCTCAAGGCGGAAAGACCTCAAGCCAGATGGTTCGCAAGTCGGGAGGATTGGCGGTCGGACCCATACTATTGTAGATTGGCAGTCGGGCCAAAAGAGCGGAAGGTCTGTGGTCGGCTCAAGGAGTGAAATATAGGGAATTTTTGGTCTGCTGGGGACACGTGTCAGCATAAGAAAGGTTGGAAGACGGTTGAGAAGGAGACGTTGTAACCGTTCGGGTGACGGTTTTCAGTACGGTTTCCCAGGGAATATTTAAGGATTTGGATCATCATTTGGCAAGGGATCTTCAATCAACTTCAACAAAGCAAAGTCAGATTTGGGGATCACCACTTTAAATTTCAGTCTTTTATTTTCCAGTTTATTTTCTGTATCATACAGTGTTTAGAGATTCCTAATCTCAGGCACTAATTAATCAAGTTTAAGGATATTTTCTATATCTTTGAATTTTACTTTATTTTTGTTGAAAAATTACATCAACAAATTGGCGACCACAGTGGGAGCAAGACAAAATTGCTCATTCCAATTCCGGCGATAATTTCATACGTCTTAGATCCGGCCGAATCATCGGAAGGGTCCATATGGCAGGGTCACAACCGCAAGCATCTTCGACACCGGTGGGAGAATCCGTTCCACCACCCATTGTGCCAAATGCCGGGGACATCCCACAACCACCAACTGATTGGTGGTCTTATGTTCAACAAATGAACAACCAGCATACCTTGGTTATGCAGAATATGTTGCGTGAGCAACAAACGAACATGTTGCGTGAGCAACAGAGTCAGTTGCAGAACATGATAGATCAAGCATTGTCAAGGGTTAGTCTTCAACCCACTCAAACGCCACCAGGAGTGTCACCGTCCAGACCACAGGCAAATTTCGCAGGGCCATCATTCGTGGATAGTACATTCCCAAGTGCCACAAATCCCAACCGAATGGATCGGGGAAAAACTCCTTTGACTTTTCCCAACAATGTTCCACTGGGACCAAGGGTTACCAATTCGCAGCCGAACAATACAAGGGAGGACAGGCCTGAAGGATATATACATGATCCGATTCATATTCCTGTGCAGGATCCGTTCCAGGTTCCTGATCATCAACGCTTTCATGTAGATCCTGACGAGATTGCACATATATTAAGGGATCAGTATGGATTAACTCCTCAGATGGCTAACCGCCCTGCATATCAAAGACCTTTCCCAGAAAGGATCATTCATGAACACCCTCTCCCAAGGAATTTTCGACCACCCGACTTTCATGCATTCTCAGGGGAGGACGGATCTTCCACCATAGAACATGTTGGTCGGTTCACAGCACAATTAGGAGAGGTTGGCAATAACCCTTTTTATAAGTTACAGCTGTTTGGTTTGTCTCTTACCAGAACGGCGTTTTCATGGTTTGTAAGTCTACCTCCTGGACAAATTCAGACATGGGAAGGATTGGAAATGGCATTTCACGCTAGATTCTTTAATCCTTTACCAGTTGTTTCTTTAACTGATTTACTTGAATTGAGACAGTATCCAGAAGAAACTGCTTCACAGTTTATAGAAAGGGTGCGATTGATGAAGGGACGATGTCCTACGGTAATCAGTGAGAAAGAGATGACCAATTTAGTGGTCCGGAATATGCATAATCGTTTAAGAAAGGCACTCACTGCCCTGGATGTTGAGGATTTGGCAAATCTTGCATCCAAGGCAGGACGTCTAGAGTCTTTGTTCAGAGAGGAAGATCAGCATAACAGGCGTAATAGAGGCCAACATATGGCGAGTATGGGAACAGAAACATGCGACTTTGATTTTAATCAGTCAGAAGAGATGGCAGCCGAAATCCTTTCTGGAAAACCGTATGTATGTCCTAAATTGAAGCCAGTACCAGGATCTGAAGGAAAGGAGCAACCGACCTTTGATAGTTCGAAAGCTGATGAAATCTTTGATATCCTACTGACTGATGGGCAGATTCGTATTCCAAAGGGCCAAAGACTTGCCACTAAAGAAGAAATCAAAGGGAGACCATATTGTAAGTGGCATAATTCTTTCACACACACTACAAGTCAGTGTACTCATTTTAGGAAGGAAATTCAAAAAGCCATCAAGACAGGTCGGCTCAAATACATCACTTTAGGTGTAGACCAGCAACCATTTCCGAAACTAACAACTGCAATGGTTGACATCCAACCAAGTTCGGAAACAAGGAAAAGTTCGGTCAATAGTGGACAAACAGGGGAGCAAACTAGTCCCGGAAAAAAGAAAGGGAATCAGCCAAACAGCAGCCGACCGGAAGAACGACTCAAGGTTGTTGAAAGGCCAGTCGCTGAAAAATGGGACCGTCCAGACGGTTCTTTTAACGTGGAAGTGAAGGAAAAGGTTTTAGTGAAAGACCACCCGACCAGAAAAACGGGTTCAGTCGGGAACGATTGGGCTCGAAATAAAAAGCCTTTACCCGTTGATATAGATCCTCGTTTCCCAGGTATGAATCGTACACAGATTCGCAATGCCAAACGCAGGTATGCTGCAAAGTATGGGAAACGAGTTCCTGCAGTGCAACAAAGAACCGACGAACAAAATGCGGCCGACCACTTGACAGGAGATCAGTCCATTAGAGTCTTTACAGAACAAACGACCGACGAGCAGGGAGCGGCCATTCAGTCTCCAATAAGTCGGTCCAGTCGGGTCTGGTCAGGAAAGCAACCGAAGGACGGATTAGGAGCTTCCGACTATACCAAAAGAAGTTCGTCGGGACAGGGGAAAGGTAAGGGAATGGCAGATGAAATAATTAAAGGTTTTAGATGCCAACATTGTGAACGGATCAACATCAATCCATCTCTGGAAGAATTTCGTATTGAATCCTTGACGGTTCAATCTCGAAATGAGACGAAGGAAGAAGTGGTGCCTACAGAGGAAAATTCAAGATCTGTTAAATCTCGTCTGGGACCACGAATCCCTTGTCGAATGACAGAGGTTAACCAGATGAGTGATGAACCGACGTGGGCGAGTCTGGTAGATGATATTATGGACGAACCTTTATGGGCATTCTTGGCAGATGGCGAATTAGAGGAAACAGAGTGGGCAAAGATTACAGATTCTGAGCCTCAGTCGGAAGTACCTTCAATTGTGTTTCCTCCTATTCCAGAGGGTGCGAACTCCCATTTGAAACCCCTGTATGTTAATGCTCACATTTGTGGGAAACCAATCACAAAGGTTTTCGTGGATAATGGAGCAGTCTTTAATGTTATGCCATTGAAGACTCTCAAGAAGCTAGGGAAAGGAATTCATGATCTGTCCCCTGTGGAATTCGAAATGACAAGTTTTACAGGGCAGCCGACCAAGCCTGAAGGTATGATGGTTGCCACAATTGAGGTCGGACCAAAGAAAATTTCCACTGTTTTCTTTATTGTGGACGCAGATACCACATACTCTCTTTTGCTGGGACGAGATTGGATTCATGCCTCTCAATGTGTGCCATCAACCTTGCACCAACAGTTAATGTTCTGGGAAGGAAATCAGGTCTTTAAAATGGAAGCGAATGACAACCCATTCGACGTAACAGAACAAGTGGAAGAGTCAGTGTTTTATTCTAGTCATTTGGCTCCGATGTCTCAGTTGTATATGGCCAGGGAATACCCAAACAAGGGTTATAAAGTCACTGGCCAGAACTCGATGTTCTATTAAAAGAACACCTTTATTGTATGGCTCATGATAAAGCCACACCCATTTCTGTATAAGTTGTTTGTAATGGAAGATACAACTTTAGAAGTATGTAGTTCTCTTATTAATAAGTTCTATTTAAAGCAGTTATTACATAAAGTA